GGTTTTTGACCTTTTGGCCTTTGGGGCATTTTGGATGGCTCCCTGGTCTCAGAGACCCTGTGGCCTCTTTTATGACCCTCTATACCCCTGATTCAGGATGAAAAAGGATTACTGAGTCCGTGTACAGAACAATGAGAAGCCTAGAGGGACTACATCATGAAGGCATAGTCCAGGTTTTTTTATTTAGCATCAGACAGAAAATAAAAAAGATCAAAGAAGCAGCAGGCAAACAGGGAATGCCCAGTGTGTGGGGGACACGTCACCAGCTGGCCCAGCCAAGGTTGGGAAAAAGTCAAGGAAGAAAGGGAGAAAACCAAGGAAAGTCTCAGTGTTTATGCTGTTCTCACCATAACACCGTAAGTGTTTTCAGCATGTATAGACACTCACACCAGGACTTTTGCCCTTAGGGGTTCCTTATGTCAAACTTTCCCTGTTTCTGCACACTGAGAGGAATAGAATAGTCAAAGCAAAGAATAATCAAGGCAAAGACACACAATAGTTGAGGCACACCATCATCCAAGCTCCCACAAATGTGGCCACACTCTGGGGGCAGGTCAAGGCCTCCAGCCTGTCCTTCAAAGCCTCTGAGGCCACTCATTTTTCTGGGTAGCCTGGAGGATGGAACGCACCACTAAGCTGTTCCACATGACAGTCTCCTGTGTTACGGCTTGTGTACCACAGAGCATGGGGGCATGTTGTAAAGGGCCTGGGGACTTGCTTCCTCCTGGTTCTTCGGCTCTTGGGTGAACAGCTGCAGCCTCCTCCCCAGGAAGGCTTGTCATTGTCTTCCTGGCAGCCTTTCTAGGGCCCCTGACTGTCACCCTGCTCTCTGCTTCTTCACATGGAATCTTAGAGGCAGGATCTTGGAGATGTTGCTGCCCACACCGCCCAGGCCTCTTGCCCAGGCCTTGAGTACTGGCTGAGTGGCAAGGAGGCTTTGGAGATGACCCCTCAGATCCACAGCACAGGCATTTGCCCCCTGAGGCCCCTCTGGCAGGTTGTTGAGATACACAGCAGGATCCAGGGTTTGCATCCTTATGACTTTGTGAGCCAGAAGCAAAAAAACTCACTGAATTGAGGAATAAAAGGTCAGAATTTGTGGCTAGCCATGCATTTGGCTATTTGGGAACACCAGGAACAAGGTAGACAACAAGAGAGTGAATGCCGACATCTGAGTAGATGCTGGTAGGGATGGTCCATCTCTACCAACATGGGCATCAGTGGAGACATGTCCTGTTGAACATTTTTAATGTCCTTCCCCAGAGTCATGTGTTTTTTCAGAAGAGATGCCTCTTGTTTGAGGGCTGGGTACCATAGACCATGTGGGGCCTGTTCTGAAGGATCTGGTCACTATCTTCCTCATTCTGTTTCCTCTGTTGGACGACAGCTGTGGCTTCCTCCCCAGGGTCACCAGTCACTACCTTCCCCACAGCCTTCCTGGGGCTCCTTGTTCTACTTCACATTCAAATCTTCAACCAGGACCTTGCAGAAGTCCCTGCCCACACTGCCCAGGCCTCTTGCCCAGGCCTTGAGAGCTGCTTCTGAGTGGCAAGGAGGCCTTGAAGGTGGTCCCTCAGATCCACAGCACAGGCATTTGCCCCCTGAGGCTCCTCTGGCAGTTTTTTGAAATACATGTAGATCAGGGTTTGCGTCATTGTGAACTTGTGAGAGCCAGTCACAGCTGAGCAGTGAGTAGACCAGGATAGATTTCTTCTCTGGAGTTATAAGTATCCTGTTCCTGCACTAGCTTAGTTCCTGTTGTGCTCATTCCTAATCACCCCCAAGACCACCTCAGGGTGAGAATCTCCATGGACATATCACACACACCAGCTATTCTGCCCGCTTCATCCTGGGCAGACCCCTGTCCTACAGCCTCAGTTCTGCTTCCCGGGGCCTAGGGCCTGCTCACCTGGGCAGGGCTGAAGGCCCAGAGCCCTCACCTCACCCTTGGCCTCTCTCCTGTCCCCACTACCCTGTAGCTGATTTTCCTGTGTCCTGTTCTCTGTGTCCATCATCTTTGTTTTCCCTTTGCCCACTAGTGTCCTTTGTCCACTAGAGGAGGGACGTGGACAGTAACTCCTGAGACCACGCAGCTGAAGTGAATGTCTGTGCCCCTAGCACCTCCCTCACCTGGGCCTGACATGGGGTCTGGGCTGGATTCCCCTGAGGACTGGGCAGGCCTGGCTCCAGGGGCTTCTGGCCTCTGGGCCTGAGTTGTCTCTTGAGGGCCCCAAGGTCTGTCCTTCTCCAGCCTCTTTCTGAAAGCCCCTGGCAGCGGGTCATGGTGTGGGGCTGCTCATCCTCTGTAGGAGGAACCGGGTAGGACACTCAGCGTGCACATTTTATCTGCTCAGGGATTTTCTTAAATTTTTATCATTTCCACTCTCTATTCATTTAGACATTTGTATTATAAACTTGTTGGAATCTCCTGATCAATAGACTCAGTTTCTTATAGGTCTTCTCTCTGCTTGTCATTTGTTTTCCATTCACATTATTTATTGGGAGTGAGGCTTTAATATTCCAGTTCATTTACTGATTTATTCATTTCTATGATCAAATCTAATTTTTAATAACTTAATTCTGAACACATGAAATTTTATGAAATCCTTTTTTTCTTTTTTTAGTACTAGAAAATAACCAGATTTGCCTATATATGCATAGGGAATCTACATGTAAATGAGTGTCTGAAATCCATGTGTTGGGGAGGCAGGGGTGGGGGTGGGGGCAGAAATGAGGGTGTGTCTCCTGAGCTAAGGAATGAGATGGGGCCTGGGACCTCCAGAAGAGAGGAGAGGAGAGGATGGCAAGGACAGGGTGGCTCATATGATGAAGACCAGATATTTTGTAATTATGTTTGCCCTGACATATAGGTAGGTTTCTCCAGTACAAAGCTCGTTTCTAGTAATAAACCTAATTTTGGGTTTATTAAGACCACCAAATTTTCATGCCTAGAATGAAAACTGGCATAAGAAAATAATTCACATGCCAAAGTGGCCTGTCTGGGGGACACCTTTCTGAACATCTTGGAGAGGCCTGTCATCAGAGCATAATAAATGAGGGGAAGAGCAAATGAGAGTGGGGATGCGGCCAGGACCAGGAGGCAGATTAGGCTACAGGCCTCCTCAAAATGGTTGGGTCCTGGAGCAGGACGTGGAGGGGGCTGAGGGCAGAGGGGACAGGCTGGTTTATGGGGCCAGAACACGTGTGTCAGGGGTGGAAGTGACAGCTGTGAGGAGAGATAAAATCTGTTTTCCTTATGCATAATTGGTTTTTAATATATATATTATATATATATATATATTTTACATTTCTTGAAACTATTGATAATAGTGTTAGGGCTCCTGCTTCTCTGCTTTCACAAGAAGACCTCTGCTCCTATCTCTCACAACGTGGCTCAGGTCGGGTTTACACGTGTCTTTGTCACCCTTACTCAGTGTCCGTCTCTCCTGACAGTGCAAGTTCCATGTCTCCAGGGGCCTCTCTCTGCTCCCCATTGTATCTGCAGGGGAGGCAGCTTGGGGAGGCAGGAGCCAGCCAGGGAGAGGGATTCTGGGAAGTGAAGGGGAAGCAAAGGCAGAGAACACTTGGGAGACTTTCCCTGATTTCCTGAGAAAAACATTTCTCAAAGTGTGGTCTCTGGAGCCCGTGCAGTCACCCAGAACCTTTCATGGGAATCCCTGAGGTAAACCTATTTTCAAGACACCATTTGTCTTTTCACTATTTTGGCATTTGCTGAGGTAAAATTTAGTAAGAGTGGAGCTTACAGCACCACTGCAGAAGTAGTAATTCTTCACCAGCACTTACCTGCAGAAACAAATATTAAAGCCAGTTTCACTGGAAAATGTCCTGGGAAAAGCATTAATAGTTATTTTCATTATTGTGTCATCCTCAACTTCACATTTTAAAATATCGGGGGTACTCACTGGAATTACACACAGAGCACTTCTGCAGCATTCCCAAACACTATGTCTCGAGGAAAATATTTGTATGAAATGAATTAGACTCTTTTTATTTGTGGGCAACACCATCTTTACCTGAGGGATGAATGACAAAAACTGTTACTTAAATTTGGTTAATTAGCAGACACTTTCCTCAAAATGAGTGTCTGTTTCTTGAAGAAAATCAACAATTGGCAAATGGCAGTAATTTTGCCTGATAAAATATAAGCTCTCAGAGAAAACCAGAATTATGACAAATCACTACTTGACAACTTACAGTGCTAATTTTTTTGGGGGGGATTTGTGACTAAAAATAAAACACTTGGGCCTCCCTGGTGGCACAGTGGTTGAGTGCTGGGCTGCGAAGCTGCCCGTGGCTTCTGCAGCGCCGGTTCGATCCCCGGCTGCCAGTGAGGGTCACACATGGCACACAGACCTCTCCTGCCGCTCCCGCTGCTCCCCTCAGCAGTGTACTTCATCATTCTGCCTGTTCTGCTCCCCGCTCTGGCTCTGGTAAATTCTCTCACCCTCCCGCGCTTCTGACTGTACCCAGTGCTTGTATAAAATAAATAAATACATCTTAAAATAAAGTAAAAATAAAAATAAAACACTTTTTAAATCATTTGATTCCAGCATAATTAACCCTGAAGATCTATGTAACTTAGTGAAACAAAGTATCACCTTAAAATAATCAAACATTACCACAAGTTCCAATCAATATGCAAGAGAGGCCTATGGAAATGTTACAGAATAGGAAATATTCCATGATATTATTTCAGTACCAAAGTGGAATATTTCAGTTTTATTTCAGTTTTATTTCAGTACCAAAGTGGAATATTCACAATTATTTGAAAATGCTACTACTTTCTTTATTCCTCCAGGCTGCTGCTTCTCCCAGCCCAAATCCACTCCTCCATATGGTAGGGAAGGGAATTTGGAGCCTCCCCTTTCTGTGGATAACACACTGTTACAGCATCATGTCTTCCTCCCGCAGGCTCTGTGCAGCCTTGATGACCCCACACTCACCCCCATTTTCTGTCCCCATTTCCTGGGGGTTTCCAGGGAAGACAATCAGCATCATCCTGCTCCAGTTACACAGTCTCCAAGGACTCTCCTGGACTCCTTCTCCCCAGGCCCCTGGATGGGGTGTGATGCCCCTCACCCTCCTGCTGCTGCTCTGGGGGCCCCTGGCCCTGATGGAGACCCGGGCGGGTGAGTGCGTGTCCAGCTGGACACTGTTGCTCCAGGAGGGAGGAGCAAGGAGCCCCCTGCGGGTGCAGGACCCCAGGAAAGGCTCATCTCCCCAACCTCTTGTTCCCCTTTCAGGCCCGTTGTGTTCTGGCCCCTTCTGTCCCTCCCACCTCCCCTGAGTGCTCTGGTCCCCTAAGTCTGGGCCCTTCTTGGCCCACCCCCCTTTTCACCCTCACGGCCCGCCCCTTTCTCCCCTCCAGGCCCATCTCCCTGGGCCCTGGGCCCGCGCTGAGAGGAGGGTCAGCCCGGGTCTCCCCTCCTGCCCCCAGGCTCCCACTCTCTGAGCTATTTCTCTGTCACAATGTCCCGGCCCGGCGTCGGGGAGCCCCGCTACATCGCCATGGGCTACGTGGACGACTCGCAGTTCCTGCGGTTCGACAGCGACTCTCCGGGTCAGAGTGCAGAGCCGCGGGCGCCCTGGGCGGGGCAGGTGGGGCAGGAGGACCTGGACGAGGAGACTCAGAACCAGAGGAACAACGCTCAGTGGTTCAAAGTGCTCCTGAGGGACCTGCGCGGCCGCTACAACCAGAGCAAGGACGGTGAGCTTTGCGGGGCGGAGCCACGGTCAGGTCCCACCATAAGGCCAGGATGTCCCGAGTCTCAGGGTTGACAGACCCTCGAGGCTGGTGGATCTGCCAGCCCCCTCCACTGGGAAGAGCCTGCAGGACATTCCTGCCTGCTCATTCATTTTCAGTTTAGGTTTATTCAAGGTGGGAGGGCGGAGTGACCGTGGGTGACCTCGGGACTGACCACAAAGTTGGGTTTCAGGGTCTCATACCCTCCAGAGCATGTTTGGCTGTGAAGTGGGGCCAGACCTGAATCTCCTCGGCGGGTTTGAAAAGTTCGCCTACGATGGCGCGGATTTCATCTCCCTGAGCGAGGACCTGCGCTCCTGGACCCCCGCGGACTCGGTGGCTCAGATCACCCAGCGCGAGTGGGAGGCATTGGAGAGGGCCGAGCGCGTCAGGAACAGTGTGAGAACCAAGTGCTTGATGTGGCTCCTCAGATTCCTGGTTTTGGGGAAGGAGGTGCTGCAGCGCACAGGTAAGAGGGGCCACAAGGCCTCAGACCTCCCCTCTCCTGGCGCCCCGCAGGGAAAATGGAATAATGCACAAAACAGCACCTGCTTTCTGGGCAGAGGGAGGAGCCCCCTTAGTTTCATGTTCTGTGCTAGAGAGAGACTCGCCCAGAAGACACCACTTTTCTGGACGGTTAAGGAATCCAGTCTCTCCTGAGGGAGGGAGGCCATCCTGAAGTAACTCTTCCCTGGATCCTTGTGCCCCAGCAGCCATCCTAAGAACCCTGAGTTTCTCTTTCAAGGTCTTGTTTTTGGTCTGAGAACATTTTTGGATCTGACTCCTGCCTTTCTGTGTCATTCACCCACCACCCAGGTCAGGAGCAAAAGTCGGTGTTCTCCTTAGAGACCTGCATCCTCCTACCCTGGGCTCTCACCCAATTATCCCAGGATTCTCCAGGCTAGGCTGGATTCTTGGTTTTGTGCTTCCTCCCTCCAAACCTAATGTTATGTTCATTCTGAGGATGGTCAGTGAGACTGCTTCAGTGTCCAGGATGAAAAAATCCAAAGAGTAAATGTTCTTACCCTTCTCTTCAGAATCCCCAAAGACACATGTGACTCATCACCCCACCTCAGACCATGGGGTCACCATGAGGTGCTGGGCCCTGGGCTTCTACCCTGCGGAGATAACCCTGACCTGGCAGCGAGATGGGGAGGACCTGACCCGGGGCATGGAGCTGGTGGACACCAGGCCTGCGGGTGATGGAACCTTCCAGAAGTGGGCATCTGTGGATGTGCTTTCTGGAGAGGAGCAGAGATATATGTGCCGTGTGCAGCATGAGGGACTAATGGAGCCCCGAGTCCTGAGATGGGGTGAGAAGGGGTACGTGGGCATTGAGCTTCTGCTCACATGAATCAGGCGCCCATCTGGAGACCTTTAGAGGGTCAAGATGGAGGCCTGGGGCTCAGGGTCTAACCTTCCCTTCCCTTCCAGTGCCCCCTCCTCAGTCCTCTGTCCCCACTGGGGGCCTCATTGCTGGCCTGGTTCTCCTTGGAGCTGTGCTCACTGGAGCTGCGGTGGCTGCAGCTGTGATGTGGAGGAAGAAGCGCTCAGGTAGGGAAGGGAGTGGGGGATCTTGTCCACTGGGGGCTTTCATGTCCCAGGGAGAACTTGCCCTCCCTGGTTAATGTGAAGTACCATCCACACACGTGTGTTGACCAGAGGGCATTTGGTCCAGGACCCCCTCACCTCCTTTATTTTTTCCCAGTTCTGACCTGGGTCTTTAGTCACAGTTCTGGAAACTTCCCTGTTCTGCAGGATTAGAAGATTCCTTTAGGAGTTCTGACCTGACTCCTCCGTGGTCTCGCATCTTTTTTCTTCCCACAGGTGGACAAGGAAGAAGCTATATTCACGCTCCAGGTAGGTTTGGATCAAGCATTTGATCCCTGAGTCCCTGGAAACAGTGTAGATGGAGCCCATGGGGGCGTCATCCTAATCATTTCCTCCTGTGGTCTCACCTCTGACCATGTTTAGTTGTGTTTCCCCCTGGGCAGCAGCAGTGCCCAGGGCTCTGAAGTGTATCTCAGCCCCTAAAGGTGAGACCCTTGAGGACTGCAGCGGGGTCTTAAGGGTTCAGGCAGAGAGGTTTCGACTGGATTATGGGGACGCTTTCAGAAGGGCATCTTGAGAGTGCAGTGGACCATTGATATTGTTAACACTCAGGTCATTCACCTGAATTTCTTCATGATTATTTTCTTTCATGGTGAGAAACAGCCTTGTTGGCCTGGGTGTTACAGGATGTATTTTTGCCCACATTTTGTGGCTTTATGATCCCCTGGTTTAAACTACTCCAGACCTGCGAGAATGGCCCATATCCAAAAGACCAGAAACAAGGACTGGCAAGGATGTGGAAAAAAGGGGACAGTTCTACGTTGTTTTTGGATATAGACTGAGCCAGCCCTGTGGAAACACTATTGAGATTTCTTAAAAGAGTAAATGTGGTTCTGCCATTGGACCCAGCAATTCCGCACTGAGGATCTACTCACAGAGGATAAATACTCTCCTGTGAAGGGACCTGCACTCCCGTCACCACTCAGCACTATTTACAGTAGCCAAGCTATGGGAACCACCTGAATGCCCCAAACAGGTGACAAATCAAGTAGAAGCTGGGATTACATGTATACATATATGTACATGTACAGGTGATGTGTGTCCCTGTATAATGAAACAGCATCCACGGTCAGAAAACATAACTCATGCCACTGCGGCAACATGAATGGAAGAGGGAAAAGTCAAAAGGAAAAAGATAAATACTTATATATGGATGTAGAGAAAGCGAACGAAGGGCCAGATTAAGCCAAAGTTCAAAACTAACCCTTGAGCCCCTCCAGGCCACACCTATTGCCTACCAGGGCTGCAGACCAGCCCAGGCTGCCTGGCCCGCAGCGCTGGATGGTGGACTGACCCTCTCTAGTTTGGCATCAGGCTCATTTGTCGACAAAGCCTGACTCCCGCTGACTAAGCCCCACATTGTGTCTTGTTGCACCTGCACCACCACTGGGTCCCCAGCCTGTGCTGTTTGCTGAGTCTGAGATGGATCTTGTACTTGATGCTGCAGATTATGACTTTTTTTACACCACTTATATATCCACCACATGGCCAGAAGGTGACATCTTCCAACAGACTGTTTATTCTCCTGATAGTAACAAATCTTGGAGCTTTTATCCTTTATTTCCTCATTGCAACACTGAGTTATTATTTGTCTATAGTTCCCTAATGAAACATCCATAGTTTTTTTTTAGAGATTTTTTTTTAAAAATTATGTGTAGTAGAACTGGGGTGAAGGCCAGAGGTGTCAAGGAGTGGGGTGAAAGGATTCACTGGACACAGAGTGGGGAGCAGAACAGGTGGATATACTGAAATACACTGCTGAGAGGAGTAGTAGGCAAGACAGGAGAGGTCTGTTGAGCCATGTGGATCCAACTCAGGCTCTTGCTGGCCAGGGATCCAACTCAGGCTGTTGCAGTGGGCCTTCTCGGTGGTAGTGCTGAGACAACCCTAGGCCACCAGAGAGGCCCAAAACCCACAATTTTTAAAGAATCAAGTCTTGCAAGAAATTGTTTACTGTTATGTCATTACCGTGGATTAAGTATTCCCACCATTTCACTGTTACTGCTGGAGCTGAGAGGATACAGCAAATTATATGCCAATGTACGAGAGTTTCCAAATGGCTGGATTAATTCATTATGTGTATGGTCCACGAGCTGGCTTGTTTAGGTTGTACATCTTTGTCAATATCTGGACAGTTTCCATTCATGATGGTGATTTTCGTATCTTCAAATCTTAAGGCCATTTATTAAGGGCTCAGCTCACCATACACACCTTCACCTCTTTGACTACAACTGTGGACAATATTTTACATTGTGGCATAGAATTAGAGGCTCATTCAAATATTCTTCCTCCTTGGAAGGGAAAGGACCACAGTTATGTGAAAAAGGTGATGGAAGAAAAGCACAGCAGCCAGCAGGAAATGGTAAAAATGAGAAGTTACTTGATGAAGAAATTACAAAGTCTGAGCAAATTATGCCCAATTATTAAATATTTTTAATGAGGGCATATAATCTATATCCAGCCAGGAAACACAGCAATGGTAGCATTTGAAACTCCGCATAGAGGGCCCTGCTGAGGGATGGTCATGTCGAGAAACCAAGAGAAACCAACCTCCTGTGTAAACACCAGGGGTGACCTAAGAGGTGGCTGTGTCTTTCCAGCCAGTGAACCTGTAACTTATATTTTCTCAGCAATAATCTTTAAAAAGGTGGAGAGAAAGTAAATTATGGAGAAGACCAAGTTATATCCTTTTGCTTTAACCCACCACATTCATTAAGAAAAACTCATTGTGTTTATTAACACCAAGGCTCAGCGCCATAACAAGGAAACACAAATACAGGATTCAGGTGGTGCCTGGTGTCGGGAGTGAGCTCCATCTTCCGTGCGGATTCGGCAATGACCACTTGTCATACTTTGTTCATGGGGAAGCCTCAGCATGGCAGCAGGTCTGATAGAATCTAGTAGTGACTGTGCAGTGTGATAACACTTTCATCTCCCTAAACACAGGAAGCTTTTTCTCTGGGGACATTGTCAAATGTTACATGTTACTAATCAGTAAATAAGCTGGAATTTCTAAAAAATATCCATACTACCATGATTCAATCCAGATGTGGGATTATTTAACTAAAGATTTTGATGGTTTTTCTTTAAAACCATTATGTAATAAGCATAAAATTATGTGAATCTAAATGTATTTAGAAAGGGAAACTTGATGTCCAAGTAGTATATTTGGCTGCTGGATGTTTTTTTTAGATGTATTTATTTATGTATACAATAACTGGGGTACAGGTCAGAGGTGTGGGGGGTGAGATGATTGACTAGAGACAGAATGGGGAACTGAACAAGCAAACTGACTGAAATACACCACTGAGGGGAATAGTGGGCGAGACAGGAGAGGTCTGCTGCCCCATGTGGGTAGCTCCCTGGCCGGCCTGGGATCAAACTCATGCTGTAGAGGCTGTGGATAGCTTCATAGTGCTGTGCTTAACCCCTTTTGCAGCCAGGGAGGCCCCTGGCTGCTGGATTTTTAACTAAACTGATACACTGCACTTTTGCTATGTTTCAAAGTGAAAAACCTATACTTTTCTACAAAAGGAAATAATTGCCAAATATTTAGGCTTGTCACTGAAGATTGGTTTGGAATTCATAATGTTTTCTCTGAGTAAAATTTGGGATTAACAGACCTTTCTGGACAGAGATTGACATGCTGCACCTTCTCTTTAGAAGCCCCAGTCTGGCTGCTGTGCAGAATCAAGAGGTGAAGGTGAGAGGTAGGAAGATAAATGTAGGAAACTAGCACAGATTCTAGGATGGAAAATTTGGTAGCTTTATGGGGTGTGATCAGGAAAATAATGGGAAGTGTTCGGATCTGGATATATTTAGAGATGGACTTTACAGCATTTCCTAATGTAACATCTGGGTTGTGAGAAAGGGGTCAAGATGCCACCCAACTTCTCAGACGGAAGTAAAGATGTGGAACCCACAGTGACACGGGCAGGCTTCAGAAGTAGCACATGTGGAAATGGCATCTGAAGTATTCATTAGGAGAGTTGAAGCTGAGGTTTATTGGAAATGCAACGATGGTGGCAGTTGGACAGATGTTGGCAGCCTGCTGCCCTAACGGGAGCCGAAGCTCTCTGGGAGGACCTGTTCACTCTGCACATGGAGTTCCAGGAGGTAGAAGTTCTGCAAACAGAAGGTCTTTCCAGAACTGACTCCTCTTCCCTGAGGAAGTGCTGGCTTGTGTGCATGTTCCTTGCTAATCAGCAAAGCTTGTCCCAGCAGTAACTTATTAATTTGTATAAGCAAAAATACAACTGCATGCTACTTTTCTGTTTAAAAAAGATTTATGCATACAAGAGCTGGGGAGTAGGCCAGAGGTGCGGAGGATGAGAAGATTAAACAGAAAGAGAACGGGGAGCAGAACAGGCAGACTGACTGAAACACACTTCTGAGGGGAGCAGCTGGTGAGACAGGAGAGGTCTGCCACGCCATGTGGGTAGCTCCCTAGCCAGGGATCAACTGAGGCCTCACTGACTGCGAGTAGCTTCATAGTGCTGAGACTTAACCCTTTTTTCCACCAGGGAGGCCCTGCATGCTATTTTCTTGTCCCTTTGTTCATATCTTTAATAAAAGCTTCGGCTGGGAGAATGAGAGGCAGAGTTGTTGTTGATGGCTCTCCCCAGCCTACCCCTGCTGCAAATTCAATTTAGACTCTGAGTCTTCCATAATAGCCGAGAACTTCTCATCGTCTGTCTGCAGCAGACAGACAAGCCAGGAGTACAGGTGAAATATGTGCACTGAGAAATAGATCTGGGAGGTGATGTGATGCACATGATATTTGAAGTTTTGAGTATGATGGCCCTTCCAGGGAGTGATGACTAAAGGAAAGAAAGGAGCAGGACTGAACCCTGAAACCCCCTGTGTTAAGACCACCCCCCAGAGTCAACTGTATATTCTGACACCATGTGGAGAAGGCAGGGAGACAAGGGAGCCCCCACTTCCGTGAGCACAGGAGTCACTGGGACACTCATGAAAACTCAGAAGGTCTAGAACAGAGCCTGAGAGTCTGTGTATAACAACATTGGTGCTGACCACACTTTTAGCAGAAGAAGGAGACCAGATTCCTGGCTCTGAGTCAGCCTCACCTGCAGGGTGTGTTGAGGAAGTGATTCCCAGTTCCCTGCTCATCACTCTGAGCCACTGGGTCTGGGAGAGACCTGAGTGTTTGTGACAGGCCCACATGCATCCTGGGGCTCAGCCGGATTGGGGCCCCTGATGTCAGTGATCAGGGAGCTGTGAGGACCTGGGAGGAGAAGACAGGACATGTGCTGGGGGGTCTGTTTTGCTTTCTGTCCCAGGAGGCATATCCAGGTGGACACCAGGAAGTGGTTCAGCTCAGCATAAAGAAAATCTGTCACTGTCCCTGGATGGATTTCTCACTCATTTGATACAAATGTACAACACAAATTTTTCAAGTAAAATTTACTAAAGGCATTAATAGATACATGTGAATGTGTATGTTTGTATATAATAGTATGTAGTATGTGACACTGACCCCAGATCCCCAAGGCTTCCCCAGCTCTTTCCTGCCCCCTGAGTGGTGGGACATTCAGGCTTTGTTGGTATGGCTGCCCCAGTGGGCACAGCCAGAGGCCAATGGAAACAGGAGTCTGAAAGGGCTGGCAGCAGCAGTGGTGGTTTTCTGCCCTGGTTTTCTGCACCCTGCATGTGCAGCTAGTAAGCACAGCTTAGAGGTGGTGGCAGAGGGGGGTTTCCTGCCAGGGGGCAGGCAGCCTTCAGAGGGTCCCTCCCCCAGAGCAAGCCAGGGTTAAGCAAAGGAGCCCCTAGGGCTTAGGCTCCCCCTCACCTGCCCCCAGAGAAGCTGTTTCTGGGAGGCACCAAGGCCGCCCTGCAGTGGGTGCCACAGGACAGCTTTGCTGAGCCCAACTCATTGGGCTAGGGATGATAGCTGGGGGGCATCAGCTGGGTTTGAATGGACCCCCACTTGCCCTGGCAGGCTCCAGGAGACTGCTGCTTGAGGATGGGGCCCAGGCCCCCTGACAGCTGTGTCTACTGCCCCCAGCAGCAGGAGTGGCAGTGGGTGACAGTAGGTGGGCACTTCACCACCAGCCACCGTCAGTGTCATGGACAAAGGCAACAGCCAATATGGCATCAGAGGCTCTCTGTCCCCCCACACCGCCCCAGGGCATGCAGCCCACTGGGGTACAGCAGCAAGGTCACCTTTGAGACCTGTCATTGCTGCTGACTGTCTGGTACCACCTCCTGGTGCTGTTGCCTCCTTCCTGTCTGGCCCTGCGTTCAGTCTGTGGCTGCTGTGGTGTCTCCTCAGAGGGGAGCACCCCTGGGAGTACCTCCCGCTGCCCCTGTGAGTTGGATCCTGGCCCAGGGCTTGCGACTGTGCCACCAGCTCCAGGCCCTCCCTGGCGGGACTGTACCCCCTTACACGGGCAACCTTAGTTTGGGACTATTGGACACTGCGGACACTATCTGGGGTAACACAATCACCACTGAGGCCTTAGAGGCTCTTTATTTCCCTGCTCTCCTGTTTGTTAAAGAAACCTCATTGCTTGTCCCTGAGCCTGAGTGGCTGCAACTGAGCACAGGGTTTCAAGAACCCACAGACAGTGCCCTGTCCTCTACTTTTTCCTGTCCTTCTGAGAGGGGGCCAGGGAGGAAGGGCCCATACCTAGTAGAGGAACCTGCACACACACACACACACACACACTGGCTGCACGTACACGCTACCTGACTCATGATCTGTTTTTCTTGAACTAAAGCTCGTGTTTAAACGGAGCTCCTGCCCTGATGATGCCCCAAAGAGTGCCGGACACTGATGCCCTCTGATGTAGCAGGGGCAGAATACCCGGGAGGCTGATGGCAAGTTCTGCATCTGAACATGACGGACACCAAGAGTGTCAGCTGTGACGGGCTCTTCTGATGTACGATTTGCTCAGAACATAAAGGTTTGTCAACGCAGAGAGCACCGGGGGACACACAAGAGAGATGTGTGGAGAAGCTGCCTTGCTTCTTGGTTTTGGCCTTGAGCCAGGAACTTAAGAGACTTGGAAGGTGACACCTAGAAAGGACACCGTGATGGCTGAACTGGATCCCTAGCCAGGGAGCAACCCACACGGCACGGCAGACCTCTCCTGTCTCACCTGGTGCTCCCCTCAGCAATGGATTTCAGTACATCTGCCCGTTCTGTTCCCTACTGTGTCTCCGGTGAATCCTCTCACCACTCACCCCACCACCTCTGGCCTGTACCGCAGCTCTTCTACGCATAAATAAATAAATCTTAAAAAAAAGTTTGTTTGCATAAATCCAGTAAAGTTCTTTTCCCCCTTCTCTTTCTTTAATAGATAATTGGAAATACGGATATTTTACCAAGGCTTTGTCTGGAATGTTGTGTTTTCAGAAACCAGACTGATCTAGAGCCAGTAAAGACATAATAACGGCACCTGTTTTAGGGCTACAAGGGTCTGTCATTAGGGTAAAGAAGGCAACCCCTTAGCAGATCCAGAAACCCCAGATGTCTTGGGAGCCTGAAGAGGAATTTCCCTGAAGGTACAGGTACCGCAGGCCAAGTCTGATGATGAGACCTTGGCGTGGTCCTGAGCCCTGACTCCTGGCTTTTAGGAGCTCTCAGTCTGAGGGTTCTTATATGAAGTTCCAACAAAGCAAAATTAGAAGGTCTGCATAATAATTTCTGTTCCTGTTGAATTCATGCAAACTGACTCTGGCGGTGTAGTGTGTGGGTGAGGCCAGGGGCTGATAACAAGTTCTGGGGGCTGAATGTGCTGGATACCAGGAGCAGCAACTGTGATGGGCTGTTCTCATGGGCTGTTTGCTGTGACTGTCTGTGTGTAACTGATTACAAGGCCAGCTGGAGATGAGATGGGGGAACGGCCGCACCCCATTCTCTCAGATCATTGGCCGGTGATCTGAAAAGTGAAAGTGCTTATAGGTTCAATTCCTGGCTCTGCTTATGGCTTTCTGGTGTGACAGGCAGCAGCGCCCAGGCCTATCCCACCAACAGCTGTAGATATTTGCTGTCTGGCCCTTTTGTTTTATATTCCCTTTTGTTCTCCTCGCTGCAGGGGACAGACCCACAAAGATATCACTGAAATGTGATATCACAGAACAAGGCGTGTTCTGTCCTTGTTTTCTTCCATGTATCTTGTGGCTTCTGGTCTTACATCCCAGCCTATTGTCCATTTTGAGTTGATTTGTGTGTGTGGTGGGAGACGGTGGTCTAGTTTCATTTTTTTGCACGTGGCTGTCCAATGTCCCCAGCACCGTTTATCGAGATGCTTTCCTTGTGAACCCTCATCTTAACCTTGTCAACATAAACTTTACTGGATTGCACGTTGGAGAAAGGAATTTACTTCTTCCCATCAGTAGTTGTATTTTCAAATTCGGGCCTCCCTGGTGGTGCAAGGGGTTAAGATGCAACCTAGAAGCTATTCACAGCCACTGCAGCAAGATTTTGATCCCAGGCCCAGGAGAATCCCACATGATGCAGCAGACCTCTCCTGAATGGCCTGCTGCTCCCCTCAGCAGTGTATTTCAGTCAGTTTGCCTGATCTGTTCCCTGCTATGTCTCTGGTGAATCCCCTCACCTCCCATACCTCTGGCCTGTACCCCAGTTCTTGTATGCATAAATAAATAAATATTTAAAAAAATAAAATCAGGGCCTCCCATGGTGGCGCAGCGGTTGAGCGCTGGGCTGTGAAGCTGTCCACAGCCTCTGCAGCACCTGTTCGATCCCTGGCCACCAGTGAGGGTCCTACATGGCACAGCAGACCTCTCCTGACTCGCCCACTGCTCCCCTCAGCAGTGTATTTCATCAGTCTGCCTGTTCTGTTCCCCGCTCTGGCTCTGGTGTCCGGCGCTTCTGACTGTACCCAATGCTTGTATAAATAAATAAATAAATAAATCTTTTTTAAAAAATAAAATCACAATTCATTTTACATTCTCCACTGTCTTTTGGCAACATTAGGTAGTTACCTGAAACTATTTCAAAAGCACTTGAAACAATTGAAAGATTAGAGGTATATGTCATTTAAGAGGAAAATAAATGATTAACCCATCTGGATTAGGACAATTAATATTTGACCAGACAGTTCAGTCAACAGGGAACAGTGTGTGTTGAGAAAGCAGCAAAAACAGACCCTGAGGAGCAGGAGAGGTAGTGAGGGGCTGAGTGTCCTTCCTGCAGGGTGTCCCCCAGGGTTGTCCAGGGACACCTGCCCTGTGCTTTGTATCTCCTCCCCCTCTTTTTCCTGCCCACATGGACCTAAGAGCAGCATTTGGGGGAGGTGAGGTTTCTGGGTGTGTCCTCCTGGGGCAGTTTTGAGTCCAGGTTTCCCCTCTTGCTCCCCTCCCCCTGGGGTGGGTGGAGCTGGGGGCTGGGCTGGGCTGAGAGCTGGGGTGGGGGTGGGGCACAACCTGCAGCTGCAGTCCCTCCCCCCAGGAAGTCTGGTTGGTCATAAACCCTGGAGGGGGTGGGTATCTGTCAGTTCCTTGGAAAACTGTTAGCGCATCTCTTCCTGTCCATGCACAGTTAGTCTACTAACAGCTCTCACATTAGGAGTGTGCTCTGCTTTTATGTGACAGATGGCAGAACCCACATAGAAGGGCAGGCTTGGGGTCCCAGGGTGCCCCTCATTCAGGCTGCTAACAGACTGAGGGTGTTTTCTCTGATCAGGACTCATTTCCCTTTCTCTGCTGCTCTGTCACACCAGGTTCCTGACCCTGGGGCAGGAATCTCCCCCAGAGTTAGAGTAGGAGGAAGCCCTCAGTGGAGATCTGACCTGGTTCCTGCTGTGGTTGGAGTAGTGTTAGGGGGAAATGATGTAGGGGGAAATGATGTCCTGAGTTAATCCCATACAGGCTTTGTGGACCCCACCCCCACTCCAGATTCACTGTATTCAGCAAGCTACTTTCATGCAGGAGGCAGAGAATAATAAAGACAAGAAACCCATCCGACCCCACAACTGTAGAGGGGCTGAGAGGAGGGACAGGCAGGGAGCTGGTGGGGCAGCAGGGGAAGGAGAGATGTGGGGGTAGCTGTGTCCATGAAGGGGGTTAGTGTGATGGTGGGATGGGAGCAAAGCCCTGGGGAGGGGGTGTTGTGGGTGAAGTTCCCATGGAGGGAACAGCCTGTGGGGGCCTGGCTGGTGCCAGGTGAGCAAGGACAGAGGGGGTGGCCCTGCTCTGTGCTTACCAAAAGGACATGAGAGGTGAACCTTCAACAGGTGACTTAATGGTCATAAATTATATCTCAATAAAATTGCTTTTGAAACATTTAAAAATGGGTCTACGAGTTACCCTGTGTCTGTCCTCCCCTGTATCCACATGAAGGGCTTGTGGGGCAGGAAACCGCCTCAGCCCACGAGGAGCTGAGCACAGACGGCTTCACTGCACAGATGCTCTCAAGGAGCCTCCTCTGCGTGGTCCTGAGTCATGTGATGAGATGCTGACGTCACGCTGCTTCTGTGATGGAAGAGACTTTTAGGGGCCTTGGGTGGGAGGGAGTTTATTTTTCATGTGAACAGAATGGAAATAATTAGTGTCCAGATGGTGATTTGTGTTGATTTTCAATTATCTACAAAGTCTGTGATACACAGGAGGGGAGACGGTTCCCCACCACCCCCCATGAATGTGTCTGACTGGCTGACTCTTCCTCGTGAGGAGAATGAAGCAGAAGGGAAGCTCCATGTCACAGAGTCAGGCTCACAGGGGCTGAGACTTCCCGCCCGGGCTCCCCCCCACCCCCCCCACCCAGTCCCTCTCTGGGGTGATTCCCTGCACACGGTGGACATTCAGCTAAGGGGACGCCCACAGGACAAGGAACTGAGGTTTTCTCCAGGAGCCACATGCATGAGCTCTGAGGCAGGTCCTTCCACGCTGATCACAGCCGTTCAGATGTGATTTGGTACAAACCATTAAAAAACTAAGGTGATAAAGTGATCAGTGGCTGTTTTCTCAGAAGAAACAGGAGCACCAGAGTTCCTCATGATACCGGAATTGTCAGGCCTAGTCTCCCAGCCAGGAACGGATTCCAGGCCACTAGACCCCCACGGGCTGGTGTCTCACGAAGCCGCAGCAGGAACTTCACAGACGCTCAGGCAAGCAAGCGAGAAGAGGCAGGGCAGGTTTGTTTAGAAAAAGTTTATTGAGAAGAAAAAGAACAGAAATAAAGTGGGACTCCCAGGCCAGGGAACCAGGCCTGGGAGGGGCAAGGAAGCCAAAGTGGAATTGTGTTTCAGGGAATATAGACCTTTTTTCCCTCATTATTCTAAAGCTTTACCAGTCTCTCTGTGATTGGTTAGTTCTCGGCTGTCTCACTTAATTTGTTACTGAGTGGGGATCTTCACATTCCTTATCTAACAGCTTTTTCTTTTCCCATTTGTTGCATCTTTAAATTTATGGCCCAGTCTTCTGGATGGGCATCCCTGCATTGAAGTTAAACAGTTGCCCTTCTAATGTGACCATAAATTAAACCACTCTCCATTTCTCCAATCTCTGCCTCCCTTTACCACCTGAAGGAAACCAGGACCAGCATTAACAATGTTGTCCTTGGTCCTGGCATGTTTGTTTTTCCTAATGGAATTGGTTATATTTCTTTGGTTGTCCTTATCTCTGAAGCCTCCCTAAATTCTTCAGAGGTCCCCTCCTGCACTGTCCCTAAAACTGCCTAATAACCCTAGCTTGCCCTGTCTCACTCACACGACAGTCAAGGTCCTGATAGCAATGCGCTGTCAGACAAGGATTCCATGTCCCCTGAAGTGTCCTTCAAAATATGTGATTTTAAAAAATTATTTCTACTGTTTTTTACTGTTTTTAGATTCCCATTTAATTTTGCTGTTTGGTTGTGTTTTCTTCACACTATCCCAGAGCGGTGTCTGCAGGGTCATGGCACAAAGGGGTTGTCAGTGGCCTGGAGCTGTGAGCGGGTCTGACTCTGACCTGCCTGCAGGAGTGGGGCCCTGGAGCCGCAGAATCAGCCCCCAGGGTGGTCCTCCAGGGCAGCCCAGGCCTTGCTCTGCCCTCCTCTTGGCTCCCTGAATCTGCCTGATACCCCAGCATTGGGGAGTCGGGGATGATGTTCTGGAACAGGAAGGGGCTTCCTCCTAACCACCTATTGTCTCTTCATTTCTCTCCTTCATCAACCTGAGTGTGTGGGTTTGAGTCACACCAGCCCTGCTTGGACAGGAAAGGCCCAAAACTTAGGTAGTTCCCTAGTCAGTTACAGCACCCATCCCTGAGCAGTCCCACCAGGTGAGAACAGAGACTCTCCCAGCCACCAGCCAGAGCCCGTGTCACCCACACAGACCTTCCCCCTCACCTTCCCCCCATGCTGCCTCTTCCTGGCCCTTCCTCTCTGGTGCCCCCACCACTCCTTTTGGGCCCCATCCCCTAGTCCCCATTTCCATCTTCTGTTCCATTTCCAGGAGCCTCCCCATCTTCCTAGCCATGCCCTGGGTATGCTCCTCAGCCCCTCCCCTCATTCAAGGATGGAGAATTTTTAAAAGATATATTTATTTATTTATTTTATAATGTGGGTCATCTTTTTATTATGTGGTTCCTTTTATGTGCAGCCTTCCCACCAATGATCTACTCCCCTCCCCACTGCTGCAAGATGTGGATGGATGGTCGGCCGACGGGTCTTGGCGTTTTCCTGGTCTTGTCCTTTTCCTGGGCGAGGACCTGGGCTCCTGGGTAGAGTGAAATGTTAATTCCCTGGAGGAGGTGACTTCACCCCTGAAAGCAGAAGCAGAAACAAATTACAGAGACTCTGGAGTCCAAGGTTCCATTCCAAGACTGAAGGAACCTCTCTATTTGGGGCATCTGCCCATTTGGGAATCAGCTGTTTTGACTGGAAACCTGCTTTTGTCCTTTGTCCATAGGACTAAGAAAATTTGAGGATTTCTGACCTGACACTGGACTTGGGCGCCCCCTTGTGTGCAGATCCCTGTCCTGCCGCTGGGGGCTCAGGGGGCCTGGGGAGGGCCTGGCTGAGCAGGAGAACGGGCAGCTCTGGTCTCCTGTGCTCAGCCCTGTGGCCACACGGGGGCGCTGCCGCGCTGCTCCGGATTCTGGTGGAGCCGCCAGGACGGGGCGGTGGCTGAGGTGGGCGGAGTTGGGGGTCCTGGAGGGCGGCCTCCTGGGGATGAGATGCTCTGTGAGGAGTCAGAGCAGCAGGGCTCAGAGGAGGGGAGACTCCTAAGCCCACCCTGGGTGTGAGGTTTCCAGCTTTTCTCCCAGAACCACTCTCTCCAGTCCCTAGATGGTGATATCTGGGAAAAGAGAAAATTTTTTCCTTCTATAACCTATTAAATATTGACAGCTTTTTAAAAAATAACATTTTACAGAAAAGCTGATTTACAGAAAAGTTGCAAAGGCAGTACAGGTCTTGTTTATCCCACACCATTTCCATTTTGTGAACATCCTACATGAGTAGTTCTTTTTTTCTTTTTTTACAACTAATGAAGCAGCGTTGATATAATTACTAAACACCATACTTTCATTTCAGTTTTTGCTAATGTCCATTTTATGCTCCATAATCCCACCCAGTTTGTCTGGATGGCAGTTTCTCTGATTTTCCTTTTTTTTTTTATAACATTGACATTGGTGAGGAGGGATGTTTGTGCGAGGCGTTGGGGTCACAGATGGGGGTTCTTGGGTCACCTCTGAGAATAGCTTCACCAGAGTCTTCCTTTCAGTGGCGCAGACACACACACACACACACACACACACACACACAAGGAAAGAAGAAGATGCTTGCACAGACACAATTGGCAGAAATTGTGGCACCTGAAGAGGGCAGGTGTGTTAGGAGAAGCCTGCAGGCCCCAGGCGGCAGCCATGGGAGCAGAGCTGCATCTTCCCAGGGCAGAAAGTGCACTGATGTGGTGTTCTTGTTGGGAGGGCTTCATAC